AAAGTACCATATGATACACCAATCTTGCTCCTTGGAATGTATCCTAGAGAAGTAAGAGCCATCACACGAGTAGATATATGCACACACATGTTCACTGCAGCACTGTTCATTATAGCAAAAAGATAGAAACAACCTAGGTGTCCACCAATGGACAAATGGATACAGAAATTACGGCATATTCACACAATGGAATACTACGCAATGATAAAGAACAACAATGAAGCTGTGAAACATAACACAGAGGAATCTGGAGGGCATTATGCTGAGCGAATTTAGTCAGTCACAGAAGGACAAATATTGTATAAGACCACTATTATAAGAACTCAAAAAAAGGTTTAAACACAGAAGAAAACATTCTTTCATTGTTATGAAGGTAGGGAGAGAGGGTGAGGGTTATTCACTAACTAGATAGTAGGCAAGGATTATCTTAGGTGAAAGGAAGGACAGCACACACCACAGGGGAAGTCAACACAACTGGACTAAACCAAAGCTAAGAGGTTTCCTCAATACAATCAAACACTTCAGGAGACAGAGTAAGTGGGGTGGAGGTCTGGGTCTGGGGACCATGTTTTCAGGGGACATCTAGGTCAACTGGCATAACAAATCTTATTAAGAAAATGTTCTGCATCCTACTTTGGCGAGTGGCATCTGGGGTCTTAAAAGCTAGCGAGCAGCCATCTAAGATGCATCGATTGGTCCCAACCACCTGGAGTAAAGGAGAATGTGGAACACCAAAGATACAAGGAAAGTATTAGCCCAAGAGACAGAATGGGCCACATAAACCAGAGATTTCATCAGCATGAGACCGGAAGAACTAGATGGTGCCCAGGCACCACCAATGACCTCCATGATAGAGAACACAACAGAGAGTCTCTGATGCAGCAGCGGAAAGGTGGGGTGCAGAACTCAAATTCTAGTAAAAACACCAGACTTAATGGTCTGACTGAGACTGGAGGAACCCCAGAAAGCATGGCCCCCGGACTCTCTGTCAAACCAGAACTAAAACCCTTCCCAAGGCCAACTCTTCAGACAAGGACTGGACTGGACTGTGGGACATAAAATGATGCTCGTGAAGAATGTGCTTCTTAGCTCAAGTAGATACATGAGACTAAATGGGCAGCTTCTGTCCAGAGGTGAGACGAGAAGACAGAGAGGGTTAGGAGCTGGTTGAATGGATGCAGGAAATCAGTAGTAGAAAGGAGGAGTGTGCTGTCACAGTACAGGGAAAGCAACTGGGGTCATATAATAGTGTATATATAAATATTTGTATGAGACTGGCTTGAATTGTAAATTTGCACTTGAACTACAACAATTAAAGCAAAGAGCTAGGAAGGTAGTAGCTATTAATCCAAATAGAATCACAAAACACAGACTAAACATTATAGCTAAAAGATACAATAAGACTGAATTTTTAAAATAGCTTTCTTGAGATATATTTCACATATAAAATTCACCCATTTAAAGTGTATTGTTCAGTGGTTTTTCATATATTCATAGAATTGTACAATCATCTTTCAGATTGGATTTTTAAAAATACATATACTCTTTAAAATGACTAATATACCACCACTACTACATCACACTGCCTTACTCCATACCTCTTCTATCAAAATCTATCCCAAATTACACTCATTAGTCAGGCATAGTTAAAAATACAAATTCCTTAGGAAGTCTTTCCCCAAATCACCTAGCTGGAATTAATTTTTTCCTCCAAGATCTGTTCCATGGCAATTTCTATCTCTCTACTCACCAGATTTCTAAGTAATATTAAATATAGTTTGTGCATGCCTGATTTCTTAAGTGTGATTCCTTTGATGACTTGGACAGTGCTTTGCATTTCACAAGCTCTCAAAACTATGCTGACTTTGATTCATTCAGCTACATTCACTCTGAAATAAAACGTGAACACTGGCTTAAAAGCTGTGTTTGCATCTTTAAAATCTATACTGAAATAAAACCTGATTAATCTAAAGAAATTACATTCATGTTATCATGTTTAAGTTGGGATGGTCATTTTGCACACAGTAATACAGAAATGATACACGAGTTAACTATGCCCCCTACTGGCTGAATAAAAATTTTGAAAAACAAATAACTTTCAGAGAGAATATGGAGTATGATCCACACAAGTGTCCCACATAAAAACTAAATGTGCTTTTAAATTCTGCTAAGTTTCACAGAAAAGCCTTTGCAAATCTTAAGTCAAATATTTAAAATAGGATTTATTAGAGACAAGGAGGACTTGAAAACAAAGAAGTGCAATTTTGGAACTGAATACTCAGGGTCATTACATTATATAACTTCAGGAAGCATCATTCACATTATATGCTACATCAGTGGTCCTCCACTGGGGGCAATTTTGCCCCCCAGGCAACATTTGGTTAATATCTAGAAACCTTTTTAGTCATCACTACTGGAGAAGAGGATGTGGCCAGAGGCAAGGGATACTGCTAAACATCCTACAATGCACAAAACCACCGCAACATCAAAGAACATCCAGGCCTCAGAGTTTATCAGTGGTTACCAAGGGCAGGAGGGAAGGGGAAAGAGGAATCTTTGTTTAGCTAGCATTGAGTTTCTGTTTATGGGGATGGAAAATATGGCAATGGGTGTTGGTGATGGTTGCATAACACAACTGATGTAATTGGTTTCACTGAATTGTACAAGTGGAAAACATTGAATTGGTAAATACTGTGTTGCCTACATTTATACAACAATGAAATAAATAAATGAAACAATTACTCAGCCCAAAATGTCAATAGAGCCAATTGAAAAACTTTGCTCTACAAGTTGTGCAACAAGGCAGCCTATGCATTTTATCTACTATAGTCAAATGGAATTTTATGATTTGCTTAAACTTTGCTGAATGAGTCAAAGAAACGATTAAAACCTCTGAAAGCAAAGAATACAGTTTTGGCCCTCTTCATCTGTGTTAGAAAATTGCAGCCTACACAGTTTATATCTTGAACTTTTAACTCTATTCTAGCGATCATACAACATGTACATAAACATGTGATCTGCTAACAATACTTTTTTTTTTAATTTATGTTGTTGGGAATATGCATACCAAAACACACACAAATTCAACTGTTTCTACATGTTCAATTAAGTGACACTGATCACATTCTTCAAGTTGTGCAACCATTCTCACCCTCCTTTTCTGAGTTGCTCCCTCCCTTTTAACATAAACTCACTGCCCCCTAAGCTTCCTATCTAACCTTTTGTGTTGCTGTTGTCACTTTGATCCCATATACATAGTTCTTGAAAGAGCATAATGTTCAAGGCAGACACTTTCTACCAGTTTAGCTAAACTATTGTTTGTTTTTGAGAAGACTTCAGGGGATATGTTTGGTTTAAGACTGAAAGATTATCTTTAAGGTTTAAGGGCAATAGTTTCAGGAGTTCATCCGGCCCCCATGGGTCCAGAAAGTATGGAGTCCATGTGAACTTTAAATTCTATTCTACATTTTCCCCCTTTTGATCAAAGATTCTTCTAAAGAATCTTTGATCAAAATGTTCACTAATGGTAGCCCGACACCATCCAGTTCTTCTGGTCTCATGGCAAAGCAGTTGTTCATGGAGGCACTTAGCCACACGTTCCATATCCTCCTCCTATTCCTGACTCTCCTCTTCCTCTGTTGCTCCAGGTGAATAGAGACCAACTGTCATGCCTTCAATAACTGCTTGCAAGCTTTTAAGACCCCAGGCACTATGCAACAAACTAGGAGGTACAACAGAAGCATTAAACTGTTATTAGGCCAATTAACTGGGATGTCCCATGAAACCATGACCCTAAACCTCCAAACCAAGGAGCCAAATCCCATGAAGTTTTTGATTGTACATAAGCAGTCTCAATAGCTACATTTTTTTAAAATGATTGTTGCAAACTGCTAGCAATACATTTTAATGCATACATTTAAAGCTAATTGACTTTCAAATCATACCTGTGTTTCCATTTCCATCATCCTTTGTTTCATTTCTCTTATTTCTGCCTGTGTTTCAGCTTCTCTAAGTCGAATGGTCATCAGTTCATCTTGTAACTCATTCACAGCATTTTTCTTAGGTGGGTCTTTCCATCGCCCAGTAGTACGAGCTAAGTGGCGCTAAAACACAAAATATTACATTGCAATAAATATTTTCAGCATCAAAATAGCAGTTAATTTTACTGAACACTTACTTTGGGCCCAGTACTACAGAAAGTACCTTATGTACATTATTTTATTTATTCCTCAGAAAATCTTATTAGCACTATTATCTTCATTTTACAGGCAAGAAAACAAAGACATTGTGATTAAGTGACTTCATGAAGTCAGTCAATGAGTGGTAGACCTGGGATACAAATTCAGATACAGGTCAGTGTTCTTCTCTAATACCAGAAGTGGATTAATTCTTGTAAAGAATACAATTTTCACCCTAATTTTCTGTGAGAGCTTTTTCATATTATCTTTAATGAAATCCTAAGAAAAGCATTAGAATTGGGACTATTTGTTAATTAAAGAAGCAATATTAGAAGCTAGGAGCAGTGTTTTTCAAAATATCTGTGATGAAGTATCAGTAGTTTTGTTTTTTAATTTCCAATTTACTGCAGTCTAATATTTTGGAAAAAAAAATGCCATGGTAATATCAAAGACTAATTTCAGTCTTTGCTAGATGCCTCCCAAAATTCAAACCAAGATTACTATTCTCAAACTATATGTAGTTTTTTTTTTTTTCTTCCTTCTATTGTTTCTTATAGATTCTTTTGTTCTTTGTCAACAGTTCTCCTCCGACATGAGTAAATCTGTGGGCATATAACTAGCTAAATGTCAGATTTTGTGACATAACCAATTTTTAAAAGAAGTTACAAATTTATATTGGTGTTACCCCTGTAATATTTCACACTGACCAACAATGAATTTAACATCAACATAAGAAATATGTACTATTTAGAAAAAGTTCAGAAACAGTTACTAAAATGGTACACTGTTGCAACAGCAATAAAAATATGACTTGATTTCTGTCTAACTTTGCTGTGCAACGAATCATTTTTATACGGCCTTTCTAGCCATGGTCTTGTAATTCCCAACAAAAGAGTAGGTGAACCTATGTATATGAGGTGTTTGTGGTCCACCAAGGGGATTGGATAGCTTGCTAATAATGTAAATAAGGTGCATGGCACCCTTGTTGGGGGGGACCATGTAATTAGGGTGTATGGAACCCTAAAAAGGGGACTGGTCAATTTTGCCATACCACTGGGCTTAAAATGAGCCATCCCAGAGGTGGATGGGGGCACCTGACTATCACCAGGAAGAAGAGACAGGAGCGGAGCATGTCCTTTGGACTTGAGATCCCTGCACTGAGACCCTCCTAGACCCAGGAGACAGAGAGAGAGAGCTGTAACACTGGAGATGGTAAAACAGCGAGAAGCAGTGGCAGAGAAACAGCGGCAGCAGAGGCAGCAAAACCAGGAGACCAGCAGGACATAGCACGGTGACCTTCCTGGCTTATGGAGAGAGAAAGCTGGGCACCTTCAGGCAGGAGGCTTCCTGGCAGAATGGGGTGCCTCCAGGCATATGGCAGAGCTAGGCTCGCCAACCCACAGACTGAGAGAGCTGAGCACTTTCATGCAGGAGGCTTGCTGGCAGAGTGAGGAGCCTCTGGACACATGGTAGAGCTACTCTCTCCAACCCTTGGAGTGGAAGAACTGAGCATCTTCGGACTGAGGCTTACTGGCAGAGTGGGGTGCCTCTGGGTACTTACTGGCAGAGCTAAAGAGCTTTGTAACACTTGCCTAAGGAGAGCAGAGGTCAGGCTGAGGGGCTGAGGGCCACAGGGGGGCCTGTCTGTGGGCATGGCTGAGAAGAGGCTGCCCTGGTTGAAGAACTGTATCTTGAATTGTAACCTGTTACTTCCCTAATAAACCCCATAACTGTGAGTATGGTCTGTGAATTCTATGTAGCCACTGTAATGAATTATTGAACCCATCAGAGAAGTAGAGAGTGCTGTGGAAGGGACAACTGGTGTCAGAACTGGTAAAAAGGTTGGAGGTGGAAGGTAGAGGTATGTTTGACCTCTGACTCATAGGAATCAGCCTTGGACTGCTGATCTTGATTCTCCTTCCCCCTCGTGAAGTTAGAAGAGCCGGATACCTCCACTACACCACCATTTTTACAATTTTTATTTCATTGTAAGAATTAAGAAGGGAGAAACGGCTTAAGCATATATTCAAACTACAAATGCTCTCAGTTCTGTACATTAAGCAGTCTTCCTCACTTTAAACTCATTTCCCAATGTTGGTCATCAGCTACTTCAAGCTCTCACAAATTGGATATTCGGCTTTTACTCTACATTTAAAAAGCACACAAAATATCTGATATACCTGCCAGTGCTCCTCTAAATCCTTGACTTGCTGTCTAAGTTCTTTCAAACCCATAATAGCTTCTGCTTCCCTCAGTTTCACAGCAATGAGTTCTTCCTGAAGCCTTGCAATGTTATTCTCATCGGGCAGGGAGTTGTTTCTCTAAAAGCAAGAGAAAACTTAATTTGGGATTTTAAAGTTTAAGGAATAAAATATAGTACACATAATAAAAGCTATTTTGTTCCATGTGTAATTAATTGTACTTACTTTTTTATAAAGCTTTATTGAGATAGAATTCATATACCATAAAATTCACTCTTTTAAGCGTGTAAGTCAGTGCAACCATAGCAACTATCTAATTTCAGGACAGTTTTATCCCCCACAAAAAGAAATTCTGTACTCATTTTAACAGTCACTCCCAATATCCATCTCTATGGATTTGTCTATTCTGGATATTTCATATACATGGAATCATTCAGTATACGTGGCATTTGAGACTGGCTCCTTTCACTTAGCAAAATGTTTTCAAGGTTCATTCACATTGTAGCATGTACCAATACTTCACTCCTTTTTAGTTGCCTAATAATATTCCATTGTATGGATATACCAAATTTTATTTATCCATTCATCAGCTGATGGAAGTTTGGGTTGTTTCCACTTTTTGCCTATTATGAATAACGCTGCTGTGTCATTCTGTACAAGTTTTTGTGTAGACGTATGTTTTCAATTCTCTTGAGTATATATCTTAGGAGTAGAATTGCTGGATCACATGGTAACTCTATGTTTAACTTTTAAGAAACTGTCAAACTATTTTCCAAAGCAGCTGCATCATTTATATTCCTACCAGCAGCGTACAGGGGTAACTGTACTTAATTCTGAGGACATAGAAAGTCTAACTTTTCTTTGTTACTGAAAGAGCAATCAAAGTTACGAAGCAACAGGATTAAAAATATTTTTCAACATGGCAATGCACTCACTAACCCCTGATCAGAACTCTACATAAAACATAAACATCAATTACATTTTAAAGATTTATGGGAAAGAACAGTTCAAAATTTGTTTTTGTTGTATTTTATCAGCATGTCACCTTTGAGAGGAATGCCAAATCTCTGCGTATTAGTCACTATTTATATCAATACTCAAGAAATTAATTCCAAGATGATCTAAGTATTTGCTTCATGGGCATATGATTTAGCTCAATCTCCTACCATACTTAAAGACCCACCTAGGATATAGCTCATTATTGAACTTCTCTGGGGAGTGATTAAGAGATCCAGAATGAAGCCCTAATAAATGTTCCCTAAATACACTGAGGTACTACTGAAATCTCTAGGCCTGATTCAATGAAATTTTCTATTTCTAAAATATTACATGGTGGACATGAAGACTTCAGCCCACAGGGATGATGAAATACAGTTATTTTAGCCAACTACACATTCTTATGATAGACTTTAAATATTTTCTGAATTGAAAACCAGAAATTAAATTACTTAAAAAGAATACTTCCACCAAATATTCAAAATCTTTCTGACTGTAAGACCTAGATTCTTACCTATATTATGGAGCTGAGAATACTCCAATGTTAGAGACCAAATATTCTGTTAGATATTTCTTTCAGCATTCTTGCTGGCTTTCTTCTCAACAAATAAAAGATTGAATTTTCCTAAAATAATATTAAAATAGCTACCAGATTTTTAGCAAAATTATTCCACTACTGATTCTAATTATACTTGTTATATTTCACTGAGAAAATACTTAAGAACAACTTGAGGTTGTCATGGCCATTACCAATGAGCCTTTGATTCAACTGCTAGATACTATCTAGGATGAAAAGGAACAAACTCAACCCAAAGCCCAGGCTATCAATGCTTAGTCATGGAGTCAAAGTATTTTAAAGCTAGAAGAAATCTTCAGAGACCATCAATGTGCCTCCATGATTTTACAGATGAGAACACAGAGATTCAGAGTCTGTGACCTAAAACACAGACTCTCAAATATGAGAGTTATTAGGAACCTAAAACTTTTCTACTTCCACTACTTATCTAATCCTTGAAGTTGTTTAACATGTTTGAAGAGGTTAGCTAGCTTCTGCAAGTACACTCTAGGTAAGGGGAACTTCCTATATATCCTGAGGTGGCTTGTTCTAGCTTGGACAGATACAATTTTCCTGAAATGTTTATGTATTAGTCCTATCACACTTCTTCCACATGATGGTATTACAATATTGGAAGACAAAAGTAAATTTCTGTCCTCTATGTTTCCCATCTCCAACATTTAGATATTCTTCCTATGAAAATTAACCTAGTTGTTTTCCTCAAAAGGGGCTCTAATCTCCATTTTTGCCCTTAAATATGGAGTCTTAAATAGTATGGTAGTAACAAAGAACAGTTGGCAATCTTATACATTTTTTTCTTTCTTTTTTTAGTAACTAACATGTAAGAGTTCTAATGTGTAAAAACACTAAACTCAATTTAATTGTTCAATAAGTACTTAAATATCTATCCCATGTCCCCTCTAATATGGGAGTGAAACATTTATGTTGCTCTCACCTTCTCTATATCCAAGACTTTATCTTGCATCTCCTTTAGCGCACACTGAGACTCGGCTTCACTCAGTCGGGCTTGGACCAATTCCTTCTCTAGCTGTAGCACAAAATCTTCATTGTAGTTGGAACTGCACTTATGCTATAAGTTACAGATATACACTGAAATTTTATGGAAGTATGAACATATATATACAGTAAAAATAAATGCAACTTCATGATACAATTATTAAGGAGAGCTAAACAGTAAAACTTCTATCTATACAATATTCTCAGCATATCTCCAACTAACTTTCCAAACAGTCAAAAAGGTCCAGTTTTGATATCTAAAAAGATGATCAGGTTTTTAGGTTTTGACAACTAGTTATTAAACTGATCAAATCCAATTCACTGAAGATAAATATCTCCTTTTATCAATACATCCATCCAGTTACTAAGAACTTGTTCTGATACTACAGACCTGCACTACACAATATGGTAGCCATTAGTCATATGTGGCTAATGAGCACTTGAAATGTGGTTAGTTCAAATTAAGACAGGTTATAAGTGTAAGATACAAACTGGATTTCAAAGACTTACTATTAAAAAAAAGTATGTAAAATATCGTATTAATTTTAAAATGATTACATGTTTAAATCAAATATGAATACACTGTGGCTAACAGAAAATTTAGAACTGCATATGTGCTTTGCCTTATATTTCTATTTGATAGCACTGTTATAAACCATAGAAAATAAATACGCATTTATTGAAAATTCTATTTTAACCTAATGGAAATAAAAACCAGGAGTCCACGATAAAATGAATCATCCTAAATCCCAATACAGCAAAGTTTTATTTGCTCTTAGAACTGTAGGTTTCTTTAAAGATATGCATAGAAATGACTGCTGGAAGCAAACAAAATGCGATACTGCATGAAGAAATTAACCAAAGCACAAAATCTTCCAATTTCCTTTACTGTATCTACAATGTAAATACTAATGCAGCCACTTAAAAAATTCCAGCTCACAGCAACTCTAATAGGACAGAGCAGAACTGCCCCACAGGGTATCCAAGACTGTAAATCTTTATGGAAGCAGACTGCCACATCTTTTCTCCTGCAGAGCGGCTGGTAGGTTCAAATCGCTGACCTTTCAGTTAGCAGCCCAGCACTTAACTACTGCGCCACCAGGGCTCCTTGATAATCAACAAGGGGCCATGTATTTAAAAAGTCTGTAAATAATGAATTACTTCCCTATGCTTATATAAAAAATCCCCTTCTGTCAATGATTCTCTTAATGTTTCCGTGATACCAACAATCCCATTCCAATGAAAATGACACAAACTTTTTTAGTAAGTGGAACCTCTATTTTTCAATCCCATGAGTTCTTCTGGTGTTGCCAAAGTTGCAAAGATAAACTGAAAGCCCACAGTAATCTTTTTTGTTTACATCATGAGTACAAAAATGAATTCTCACATTCAATATCTGATTTGAAAGATATATGAGTAATATAGCAAAATCCAGTATCTGTACCTTGGGAGGTCCCTTTATCATTAAATGAAAAAATTCAAGTTGGAATAAAGACAGCCTACACAGATGTATCAAATACTGACTAAATTTAATTTTACATTAACCTCCTAACTAAATACAAGACCTAGTATTTATATGTCCTCTTCAGGAAGCTACATATTTCGTGAAATCCTATACTCTTTTCCTTTGTACCATTTATCAAGTCTAAATAATTAACTGTGCAATTAATTTTTTAAATGTTTATCTATATATATATACTACGCAAGCAAAACCAGGGACAGTTTGATTGATTTACCACTGTATTATCAGGACCAAACTGTGCTTTTCTTAGTAGATAAGCAAACAATATTTGCTGAATATTAGGTCAGCTAACTCTCGGTTAAAAAAACAAAATTTACACTAAACATGGGGAGTGGGAGGAGTTACATACTGTAAAAACTTTATTAGATGACCTATCAATCTGATGGTTAAACTATTTTTATTAGCCTGCTCACCTAGCAATCTTGAACAAGTCACTTTTCTAAAAAAAAGAAATACAATAAACAAAATTTATAACAGTGTGGAAAGATGATACATTTGTACCATCCCATCCAAAAGCATGTGAAAAAGCCACGATTATACAAGAGAAGTGGTTTTAACACAACAAGACAAAATCATAGCAGACAAAAATAAAATAAAAATGGTTATATCTTGCTTTGCCTCAGCGTATGGCCCCCCAAAGATGTTTTAATCCTGCCTACCACATCCTCTAAAAAACCTTGTAAAAAAATTCAAGCGATATGGATATACTATTTAAAGATTTGCTACATTAAATTCATTTGAAAAATCAGTATGTCTCTTTTATATGAATTATTTCCAGTATTTGAAAAATTACATACGATCCTTTAAGGTGGACGTTTATCTCTGGTTGTTTATATGCTCTAACAGCATAGTTTTTTTTTTAATGCTAAAGAAAATGTCAAGAAAACAATTACTTCCATTAAAATGATTCCTCATTTATTAATTGAGCTGAAAGGAAAAGATAGTTACATACGAATGTAAAACATTCAGTCTTTAGATCAAGTTCAGAATTGGTTTTGGAAGAAAACAGCTTAACAGTTCACCAATTTAAATGTGTAAAGTTATCACTCTATTTTGGATCTTTAGAAAAACTTAAAATCAACTAACAACAATTACAAATTAAACGGCATTTTCTTGAAATGTCACTACTTATAAGAGCTAAAGCTGGAATGTTTTTAATGTAGGAAGATAGGTTAAATATTAACTTTGATTTTCATAAAGAAAAAAAAACCTCACTAGATAAATCAGATGTGGGGCGATTCCTAAATACCGCTGAACAAATACATTTTCTAAAATAAACCATCTAAAAAATTCCACAACTTCCACTGATATACTGGTAGTTTTTAGTTTAACATTTATTCATGGTTTATCTAGGTAAGATTGGTTTTTGTTCCTTATTTCAAAAGCTTGTATCTTAAAAGTATATGTAATTCTTTCATATTCTCTTCTAGAATTTTAGGAAATGGAAAGGAAGCTGAGAATTCATCTATTTTCCCCCAAGTCAAGAATACCCACAATCATTTCCCAGGGTTGGTAGGTCATACAGCCTCCCCTTAAATATTTCTTAGTACAAGGGTCACAAGAACTTCAAAAGATAGTCATTTCTGCATTCAGCAGCTTTAACTGTTACAATTTCTCCTTGTTTATGCTAATCGGAGCCAACAAGTACCTGGACAAAATTGCTTATTCAGCATATCTGATGATAAGCAGTGACATGTATGTAGGGCACAAAGTTTTTAAACAGATCAAGCTAAATTCAAAGACAGTTGGTCTCATCAGGAAAAGTCATCCAACATAAACACATCTGTGCCCCACCCACACTCAAGACAGCCAGGGTCAGATGTGCAACTGCATGAAATGTCACTGGATCATTTTCACTTCTATGGGCTTGCAGGAAAAACTGACATGACACATGTAAAACAGATACAGAGACAGTTTTATCTTTACGCTTAGTTTAATAATTATTATTTAATATTTACTTAGTACACTAAATGCTCAATTAAATAATAAATTAACTCAGTCATTTTTGAAAATCAACTATATTAGGCTCAGATTATCAAGGACCTCCCTCCTCCCCCCAAAAAAAGTACAAATCCATCTGAAATTGATCACGCTAGCTTTTAAGATTCTTGAGTTTTGGGCCTACACTCAAAGATATGTACTGGTCCTCATACAAAATACTACCAGCCATAATAAAAGCCAAATACTACATTTTTATTTCCCTTCCAAAAAAAAAAAAAAATTATCAAGGGCCAGTGCAAAAGGAAATCAGTGACTAGTTAATCATCCAACAACTGCATACTGCAGAAACACTTTTTTAAAGAACTTCAATACTCAAAATTAGTTGAAAATAAACTTTTTATCTTTTAAAAACTGCCGCTCAAAAGTTTAATTATTTAAAATAACTATGGTATGTAATTGTACCATAGCATTAAAACCATTAAAAATTATATGGTACACTAAATAGGCGGAGCCAACATGGCACTATAAACAGAAGCACCACATCGTCCCTCCACAGCAAAGACCTGAAAAACTAAGTAAAACAGATAAACATCAATCCTGGAAGCCTAAGTATTAAATGAAGACATAAAGAACTCAACCAAGCACCGAATGGAATAAGAAACTGACAGAATAGAGAGCTAGGAGAGATACGGAGTGGAGGTCCCCTAACAGCTAACGCAGCACAGATTCACTATCTTGGACTCCTCAGCCACCAAGATTGGATGAAAGGGAGTACAGGAAAGCAGCTTCTCGGAGCCCCCAGCAGGAGATAGAGCATCCGGTAACCAATGATACATGCTTTCCCAAAACCTTTCGGACACAGCAAAGGCAGTGCTCAGAGGTCAATTTACTTCAAAAGAAGTACACATCAAAAAAGAAGTAAAGGACAAAATCAAAACATTAGCTATATAACACAGACAAATAGAAAGAAAACAGCAAAAGAAACCCACAGCCACCAGAAGAAAGGAAATAATAAAGATCAGAGCAGAAATAAATGAAACAGAGAATAGAAAAACAACAGAAAGAATCAGCAAAAACAAAAGTTGGTTCTTTGAAAGGATCAACAAAATCGACAAACTACTGGCCAAACTGACAAAAGAAAAACAGGAGAGGATGCAAATAACCCAAATAAAAAATGAAATGGGGGACATTACAATAGACTCAACTGAAGTAAAAAGGATCATAACAGAGTACTATCAAAAACCATACTCCAACAAATTTGAAAACCTAGAAGAAATGGACAAATATCTAGAAACACACTACCTACCCAAACTAACACAAAGTAACACTGAAAATCTGAACAGATACGTAACAAGAGAAGAGACTGAAAAGGTAATTTAAAAACTCACAATTAAAAAAAGCCCTGACCCAGATGGCTCTACTGGAGAATTCTACCAAACATTCAGAGAATAGCTTACACCAGTACTACTCAAACTATTTCAGAACATAGAAAAGGAAGTGATACTTCCAAATTCATTCTATGAAGTCAGCATAACCCTGATACCAAAACCAGGCAAAGACACCACAAAAAAAGAAAATTACAGACCAATATCTCTCATGAATATAGATGC